TCTGTACCTCCCTTTGATCATTGCCCATGTGTACCTCCCTAGGATCATTGCCCATGTGTACCTCCCTAAGATCATTGCCCATGTGTACCTCCCTAGGATCATTGCCCATGTGTACCTTCCTAGGATCATTGCCCATGTGTATCTCCCTAAGATCATTGCCCATGTGTACCTCCCTAAGATCATTGCCCATGTGTACCTCCCTAGGATCATTGCCCATGTGTATCTCCCTAGGATCATTGCCCATGTGTATCCCCCTAGGATCATTGCCCTTGTGTATCTCCCTAGGATTATTGCCCATGTGTATCTCCCTAGGATCATTGCCCATGTGTATCCCCCTAGGATCATTGCCCTTGTGTATCTCCCTAGGATTATTGCCCATGTGTATCTCCCTAGGATCATTGCCCATGTGTATCCCCCTAGGATCATTGCCCTTGTGTATCTCCCTAGGATTATTGCCCATGTGTATCTCCCTAGGATCATTGCCCATGTGTATCCCCCTAGGATCATTGCCCTTGTGTATCTCCCTAGGATTATTGCCCATGTGTATCTCCCTAGGATCATTGCCCATGTGTATCCCCCTAGGATCATTGCCCTTGTGTATCTCCCTAGGATTATTGCCCATGTGTATCTCCCTAGGATCATTGCCCATGTGTATCCCCCTAGGATCATTGCCCTTGTGTATCTCCCTAGGATTATTGCCCATGTGTATCTCCCTAGGATCATTGCCCATGTGTATCCCCCTAGGATCATTGCCCTTGTGTATCTCCCTAGGATTATTGCCCATGTGTATCTCCCTAGGATCATTGCCCATGTGTATCCCCCTAGGATCATTGCCCTTGTGTATCTCCCTAGGATTATTGCCCATGTGTATCTCCCTAGGATCATTGCCCATGTGTATCCCCCTAGGATCATTGCCCTTGTGTATCTCCCTAGGATTATTGCCCATGTGTATCTCCCTAGGATCATTGCCCATGTGTATCCCCCTAGGATCATTGCCCTTGTGTATCTCCCTAGGATTATTGCCCATGTGTATCTCCCTAGGATCATTGCCCATGTGTACCTCCCTAGGATCATTGCCCATGTGTACCTTCCTAGGATCATTGCCCATGTGTATCTCCCTAGGATCATTGCCCTTGTGTATCTCCCTAGGATAATTGCCCATGTGTATCTCTCTAGGATAATTGCCCACGTGTATCTCCCTAGGATAGTTGCCCATGTGTATGTCCCTAGGATCATTGCCCATGTGTATCTCTCCAGCATCATTGCCCATGTGTATCTCTCTAGGATCATTGCCCTTGTGTATCTCCCTAGGATCATTGCCCATGTGTATCTCTCTAGGATCATTGCCCATGTGTATGTCCCTGGGATTATTGCCCATGTGTATCTCCCTAGGTTTATTACCCTTGTGTAGCTCCCTTGGATCATTGCCCATGTGTACCTCCCTAGGATCATTGCCCATGTGTACCTCCCTAAGATCATTGCCCATGTGTACCTCCCTAGGATCATTGCCCATGTGTACCTCCCTAGGATCATTGCCCATGTGTACCTCCCTAAGATCATTGCCCATGTGTACCTCCCTAGGATCATTGCCCATGTGTATCTCCCTAGGATCATTGCCCATGTGTACCTCCCTAGGATCATTGCCCATGTGTATCTCCCTAGGATCATTGCCCATGTGTATCTCTCTAGGATAATTGCCCATGTGTATCTCTCTAGGATAATTGCCCACGTGTATCTCCCTAGGATAGTTGCCCATGTGTATGTCCCTAGGATCATTGCCCATGTGTATCTCTCCAGCATCATTGCCCATGTGTATCTCTCTAGGATCATTGCCCTTGTGTATCTCTCTAGGATCATTGCCCTTGTGTATCTCCCTAGGATCATTGCCCATGTGTATCTCACTAGGATCATTGCCCATGTGTATCTCCCTAGGATCATTGCCCATGTGTATCTCCCTAGGATCATTGCCCTTGTGTATCTCCCTAGGATTATTGCCCATGTGTATCTCCCTAGGATCATTGCCCATGTGTATCTCTCTAGGATCATTGCCCATGTCTATCTCCCTAGGATCATTGCCCATGTGTATCTCCCTAGGATCATTGCCCATGTGTATCTCCCGGGGTCACTGCCCATGTGTATCTCCCGGGGTCAATGCCCATGTGTATCTCCTGGGGTCACTGCCCATGTGTATCTCCCTAAGATCATTGCCCTTGTGTACCTCCCTAGGATCATTGCCCATGTGTATCCCCCTAGGATCATTGCCCATGTGTATCTCCCTAGGATCATTGCCCATGTGTGTCTCCTGGATGACAAGTGTGGCCTGTCAGACAAGGGCCGTCATGAGACACCGGGCATAGAGCGCCTCGGTGATGTCACCAGACACATGAGAGCGTTCCCGCTGCGGCCGGCGCTCTTTAAACATTTTCACACTTCAATTATTCGGCCCCCGTGTTTCTGAACGCACTTTTATGGGATGTTTGCGGTGTGCGACGCCTCGCTCTGGCGCTGCCTCTTCATTTGAGAGTTTGAAGGAGTATCAGCGCCGAGCGATGTTGTCATTCGCGGCTAATGGCCGAGCTATTGGCTCTCGAGCTGTCCTAATGGAAGAGAGAAAGTGGAAATTGCTGTGCGTCGTGTTACAAGCATGCAATCGCCCGTGAAATGGGCCCTTCACTGTCATCCACGAAGAGGCAGAAACATGCAAAGATCACAAATTGCCCGACCGTGATTTACAGTGCGCTGCGTTCCTCGCCGCGGCGTCGCTCGGATTCTGAGGGAAGCGGGGGCCGCGGCTTTGTTCTGTCATTTTAACGGTTAAAGAAATCCCGCATGTTTACAGTGCATGTCATAAGTCTGTGGTTTGTGTTCCTTCTGGGGTCACTGCCCATGTGTACCTCCCTAGGATATTATTGCCCATGTGTACCTCCCTATGATATTATTGTCCATGTATACCTCCCTATGATGTTATTGCCCATGTGTACCTCCCTAGGATCATTGCCCATGTGTTCCTCCCTAGGATCATTGCCCATGTGTACCTCCCTAGGATCATTGCCCATGTGTACCTCCCTTGGATCATTGCCCTTGTGTACCTCCCTAGGATCATTGCCCATGTGTGCCTCCCTTGGATCATTGCCTATGTGTACCTCCCTAGGATCATTGCCTATGTGTACCTCCCTTGGATCATTGCACATGTGTACCTCCCTTGGATCATTGCCCATGTGTACCTCCCTAGGATCATTGCCCATGTATACTTCCTGGGATCATTGCCCATGTGTACCTCCCTAGGATCATTGCCCATGTGTACCTCCCTAGGATCATTGCCCATGTATACTTCCTGGGATCATTGCCCATGTGTACCTCCCTAGGATCATATCCCATTTGTATCGCCTGAACAAGAGCAGAGCACTGTCACCATATAACAGGAAGTGCCTGAACAAGGACCTCCATGGCGGGATCACCAGAGATTATTATAACGCAATCTGCAGATTTAGAAAGTTCGAAAATGAGATCAACGTGTGAAGGATTGTGTGGGATCGAAGTTCTCGGATTCGCATCTGCTCATATTCCGCCCGGAGTTCTCCTTTAAGCGGAGCGGTTGTGTGTTCTGGGGTTCCTCTCTCAGCCGCGTACTTAATTGCAGTCGACATTCTTCAGCTTTATCCGTCTTCTTCTCCCTAGGATCATTGCCCATGTGTACCTCCCTAGGATCATTGCCCATGTGTAGCTCCCTAGGATTATTTCCCATGTCTACCGCCTGTGTTCATTGCCCATGTGTACCTCCCTAGGATCATTGCCTCTTGTGTAGCTCCCTAGGATCATTGCCCATGTGTACCTCCCTAGGATCATTGCCTCCTGTGTACCTCCCTAGGATCATTGCCCATGTGTAGCTCCCTAGGATTATTTCCCATGTCTACCGCCTGTGTTCATTGCCCATGTGTACCTCCCTAGGATCATTGCCTCTTGTGTATCTCCCTAGGATCATTGCCCATGTGTATCTCCCTAGGATCATTGCCCATGTGTATCTCCCTAGGATCATTGCCCATGTGTGTCTCCTGGATGACAAGTGTGGCCTGTCAGACAAGGGCCGTCATGAGACACCGGGCATAGAGCGCCTCGGTGATGTCACCAGACACATGAGAGCGTTCCCGCTGCGGCCGGCGCTCTTTAAACATTTTCACACTTCAATTATTCGGCCCCCGTGTTTCTGAACGCACTTTTATGGGATGTTTGCGGTGTGCGACGCCTCGCTCTGGCGCTGCCTCTTCATTTGAGAGTTTGAAGGAGTATCAGCGCCGAGCGATGTTGTCATTCGCGGCTAATGGCCGAGCTATTGGCTCTCGAGCTGTCCTAATGGAAGAGAGAAAGTGGAAATTGCTGTGCGTCGTGTTACAAGCATGCAATCGCCCGTGAAATGGGCCCTTCACTGTCATCCACGAAGAGGCAGAAACATGCAAAGATCACAAATTGCCCGACCGTGATTTACAGTGCGCTGCGTTCCTCGCCGCGGCGTCGCTCGGATTCTGAGGGAAGCGGGGGCCGCGGCTTTGTTCTGTCATTTTAACGGTTAAAGAAATCCCGCATGTTTACAGTGCATGTCATAAGTCTGTGGTTTGTGTTCCTTCTGGGGTCACTGCCCATGTGTACCTCCCTAGGATATTATTGCCCATGTGTACCTCCCTATGATATTATTGTCCATGTATACCTCCCTATGATGTTATTGCCCATGTGTACCTCCCTAGGATCATTGCCCATGTGTTCCTCCCTAGGATCATTGCCCATGTGTACCTCCCTAGGATCATTGCCCATGTGTACCTCCCTTGGATCATTGCCCTTGTGTACCTCCCTAGGATCATTGCCCATGTGTGCCTCCCTTGGATCATTGCCTATGTGTACCTCCCTAGGATCATTGCCTATGTGTACCTCCCTTGGATCATTGCACATGTGTACCTCCCTTGGATCATTGCCCATGTGTACCTCCCTAGGATCATTGCCCATGTATACTTCCTGGGATCATTGCCCATGTGTACCTCCCTAGGATCATTGCCCATGTGTACCTCCCTAGGATCATTGCCCATGTATACTTCCTGGGATCATTGCCCATGTGTACCTCCCTAGGATCATATCCCATTTGTATCGCCTGAACAAGAGCAGAGCACTGTCACCATATAACAGGAAGTGCCTGAACAAGGACCTCCATGGCGGGATCACCAGAGATTATTATAACGCAATCTGCAGATTTAGAAAGTTCGAAAATGAGATCAACGTGTGAAGGATTGTGTGGGATCGAAGTTCTCGGATTCGCATCTGCTCATATTCCGCCCGGAGTTCTCCTTTAAGCGGAGCGGTTGTGTGTTCTGGGGTTCCTCTCTCAGCCGCGTACTTAATTGCAGTCGACATTCTTCAGCTTTATCCGTCTTCTGGGTTTGTTTGTCCAAGTCGGGTGCTTGTCATATAGCGAGACGAGTCGGTAAACAGCGCGCATTTGTTTATAGGAGACGCAGTCGGTGGGTGTTCATTGCCCATGTGTACCTCCCTAGGATCATTGCCTCTTGTGTAGCTCCCTAGGATCATTGCCCATGTGTACCTCCCTAGGATCATTGCCCATGTGTAGCTCCCTAGGATTATTTCCCATGTCTACCGCCTGTGTTCATTGCCCATGTGTACCTCCCTAGGATCATTGCCTCTTGTGTAGCTCCCTAGGATCATTGCCCATGTGTACCTCCCTAGGATCATTGCCTCCTGTGTACCTCCCTAGGATCATTGCCCATGTGTAGCTCCCTAGGATTATTTCCCATGTCTACCTCCTGTGTTCATTGCCCATGTGTACCTCCCTAGGATCATTGCCTCTTGTGTAGCTCCCTAGGATCATTGCCCATGTGTACCTCCCTAGGATCATTGCCCATGTGTAGCTCCCTAGGATTATTTCCCATGTCTACCGCCTGTGTTCATTGCCCATGTGTACCTCCCTAGGATCATTGCCTCTTGTGTAGCTCCCTAGGATCATTGCCCATGTGTACCTCCCTAGGATCATTGCCTCCTGTGTACCTCCCTAGGATCATTGCCCATGTGTAGCTCCCTAGGATTATTTCCCATGTCTACCTCCTGTGTTCATTGCCCATGTGTACCTCCCTAGGATCATTGCCTCTTGTGTAGCTCCCTAGGATCATTGCCCATGTGTACCTCCCTAGGATCATTGCCTCCTGTGTACCTCCCTAGGATCATTGCCCATGTGTACCTCCCTAGGATCATTGCCCATGTGTACCTCCCTAGGATCATTGCCTCTTGTGTACCTGAGTATGATAGGCCTCACCATGAGAAGGAGCACTCCGGCTATAACGGAACAGATACGAAGCACCCCCGTCATCCCTGCATTGGGCTCTATAGGGTCTCATTTAGCCCTTTTGCTGGAAAGCAAGGCTGGTGTTCACAGAGCTCAGTATTCGCCTGAACAAGAGCAGAGCACTGTCACCATATAACAGGAAGTGCCTGAACAAGGACCTCCATGGCGGGATCACCAGAGATTATTATAACGCAATCTGCAGATTTAGAAAGTTCGAAAATGAGATCAACGTGTGAAGGATTGTGTGGGATCGAAGTTCTCGGATTCGCATCTGCTCATATTCCGCCCGGAGTTCTCCTTTAAGCGGAGCGGTTGTGTGTTCTGGGGTTCCTCTCTCAGCCGCGTACTTAATTGCAGTCGACATTCTTCAGCTTTATCCGTCTTCTGGGTTTGTTTGTCCAAGTCGGGTGCTTGTCATATAGCGAGACGAGTCGGTAAACAGCGCGCATTTGTTT